ATCTGCCTATTCCAATCAACAGGCACGTTACAAATGTTATGAACCCAGCCAACGTCGCCGTTCCTCAACAGGAGTAACAGTTAAGCATGTGGATGAAATAACAGATGAGGAGTGGAGAATGAGAGTTGCACCTGGAAAAGAGCAACCACATCGGCAACCCCAAACATCACAAGAGGAACTACGCAAATCAAGTTCATCTATCAACACAAACACAGAAAAACCAACACAGAATATTTTTTCATCAGGATTTCAAAGTCTTAAGTCAAAGATTATGAAAGATGACCCAAAAGCCAACACTGATCAAACTGATGTTTCTCAACCACAGATAATGAATCAGGTGAAACAAGGTAGAATTTTGCCCTCTCCACCCATAACGTCTCAAGCTAGCCAATCCTCTACACATGCACAAAAACCACGCCTGGCACGTCAAACAACTATGGCTTCTCAGGCCGCTCCACCGACACTACCACCTGTAACTAATACTTTTCAATCAAAAGATCTGATGAATAAACCTGCGGCTTCCACGCAGCTTCAAAATGACAAAACACAAGAGAAACCACAAGAACAACCAACAGGTTTTATGGGTTTTCTGAAAACAGCTGTTGGAATAGAGGAACCCAAGCCAGATATACAAACACCTCTTAAAACAGGCATTAGTGCATCTTCAACAGAAACTTCAGCTACCAGTAAAGAAGCTAGTGGTGTTTCAAATCTTTTTGGATCAATTAGCAGCTTATTTAGCGCGGAGCCCCCACCATCAGCAAAAACTGAGATGAAACCTAGTGTCACTGAAGGGTCACTGGCTGCATCATCTAGGCCAAAAGGTATACAAAGACAACGAACAATGGATCAAAGTAGTATAGCCCACACTCAACCTCCAAACAAAAGCGTATCACAAGTACTTCCTCCTACTTCCACTATTAATAGCATCCCAACACAGTCTCAAACCATGCCACAAATCAATCAGCAAAATAAGGACACCGCTCCTAAACAATCTGGAGGACTCTTTGGTTTTTCTCTTGGTGAAATACTGACAGGGCCATCAGTTGGTCAACCTGCACCAAGCCCAGAGGTGTCTACAACAGGGACAACTTCGCAAGAGGGATCCATTGGGAAAAGTATATTGTCATTGTTTAGTGGGCCTGACCCCCCTCAAGCTGAATCTAAAACTTCACCGAATCAACATTCACACCCAGATGCACCCCCACAACCCCCTCAACAAGAGTCTCTTGGTAAAAGTTTGCTGTCTATGTTTGGTGCACCATCTGCTCCTCATCCTCCACCTCAACAACAGCAGCAGCAGAAGACTGCCCCTCCTAAAGAGCCACCAAGTACAGGATTCTTGTCAATGTTTGGTGGTCCCAGCACCCAACAGCAACAGCCTCAAGCTAATACTGGTTCTCTTCTAGGTGGAATTTTGTCTGGGTCATCCGCTTCAGGTGAAAGTCCAATGAAGGGATTGTTTTCTGTATTTAGTGATTCAACACCCCAACAGCCACAAAAACCTTCACAGCCACAATCTAAAATACCTCAACAGACACAACCCAAGCCCCAAATACAACCTCATCAGACACAATCAAAGCCCCAACCACAACCACAGGAACAAACAGCTGCTTCTGTTCTTGGAGGATTATTTGGTGGACTGGCTAGTTCGAATGAAAGAAAATCATTATTCTCAGTGTTTACTACTTCTGATACTCCTCAAACCACAGTGGCTTCCGAGTGCCCGCAAACAAACTCTATGCAAGTTACATCCAGTAGTGCTGCTATTACACAAGAACCAATATCACAATTGCAAGACTCATCTTCACAGCCACATATTTCTGTGAATTATATTCGAGAAAAAGACAGTGACCTGAGTGTAATTCCAAATAAAGATTCTCACAAAGCTTTAGAGGTAGAAAATAGACCATCTACAACTGAAACCCAGACAGTGACAAAAGATAGAGACAATAAAATTGTCACAGAAGGGCCCCACATGCAACTAGCATCATCTGGTCAAGTTGAATCAACTCAAAAGGCTCAGTCTACCACATCTACTTTGTTAACTACAGATTCTGCTGCTACTGCTACTAGTCAGTCCAGTCCTTCATCTACAGCAACTACAGCAGGAGCTACCAGTGACACAACAGCAAAAAATTTGCCCTCCTCTCCAGGGTCAACTACTCAGCCTACTCCACAACTTGGTGGTTCTTTATTTGGTAAAATGTTTGGAGGGCCAGCACCCCAAACTGCAGCCCCTCAAACAGGCTCATTGCTCGGTGGTCTGTTTGGAGGACCGACAGCCCAAACAGGAGGAACTCAGTCTAATACTTCTGTACTTGGAGGTTTATTTGGTGGATCCACTCCACAGACAGAAGGAACACAGACTGCAGGATCTATTTTAGGAGGCATCTTTGGAGGATCAGCTGCTCCTTCAGGTTCAGCACCTCAAAATACCAGCTCTATACTTGGAGGTTTATTTGGTGGTGCATCACCATCAACAACAACAACAGCACCATCAGCCACATCTCTTCTGGGTGGAATTTTGCCAGGATCCTCTGTGTCTAGTGAAACATCTGGAAAAGGCATCCTTTCTGTGTTTGGTGGCAATACTTCACCTGCAGCCCCATCTGCATCAGCACCATCTGCATCAGCGCCACCTGCAACGCCATCTGCATCAGCACCACCTGTAGCGCCACTTGTAGCATCACCTGGAATGCCATCTGCACCAGGACCACCTAAACCCCATGACAACAAAATTAGTTCTACGCATGTGTCTGAAACATCTCTTAAAGTTACATCTGACATTCAAAGTTCAACTCAAACTGCTCCAGAATCCCCTTCAGTTCATAGCAATGAACCAGTACTGACACAGCAACCTCAAGACATTACTGATCATGAGAAAACTGATACAAATATTGCTTATTGCCCAGAGCCTGACAAGGTTACCCCATCAGTAGATATTCTGTCACAACAGCCTGAAAGCACAGAACACCTTACATCTTCAGAGGTTGTGTCTTCTACTGAGAATAAAATGCTGCCTAAAGACCAGGAAAACATGACCACATCTGGCACAGTTGTCCAAGATCAACCAAAAACCCCTGACCCCGAGAAGTCTGTCCTGGACTCTTCAGCAGATAAAGTTGCTGGATTTGTGTCATCACTTTTTGGTGCACCACCCGCTCCTAACAGTGGTCCTCAACAACCACAAACCAAAGCTGCTCCTAATCAGTCAGGGCCTTCATTGTTGGGAGGCCTTTTTGGGGGACCAACAAACCAACCATCAACTCCCCAGACAGGAGGGTCATTACTAGGAGGTTTATTTGGTTCTGCCCCACAATCTAGTCCTCAATCTAATGCTTCAAACCTAGGAGGATCAGTATTAGGTGGTATGTTTGGTGGAGGCTCAACAGTCAAGCCTGGAGGAACATCTGCCAGTGGGTCAGTATTAGGTGGAATATTTGGAGGATCGACATCAAATGCATCTCCACAGTCTGGGGGTTCTATTCTTGGAGGAATGTTTAGTGGTGTAACAGGACAAACCTCTGGAACACAGCCCACAGCATCTGTACTTGGAGGCATCGGTGGGTCCTTATTTGGTGGTATTGGGCAGCAAACTAAACCACAAGAAAAGCCACCTGCTAAACCCATGACAACCCCTGAAACACCTGCTCAGATTAAACCTGAAAGTGTGCCATCAAAAGTAACCCCACCTGTCACAGAGATGGCCATAAATAAAATGGACTCTGCAGTTCCAAGTGATTCTCAACTCCAGTCAGCCAGTGAGTTAGTTGAGAAAGCAGATCCAGAAGTTGAGTCCTCAAATGCTTCAGCCACTTTGAAAACTCCTGAAGGTGATGTTACACACGAGACACACGGTGAAACTGAAAAGCCCGCAGTCCATCAAGAAGTAATACAAGATATACCTATTACAAGTAATACTGACACTGAAAGTAAAGATTTGCACAAACCTGTTCAGCCAGAAGCACAACAAACTAAAGAACAGAATTCTGAACATACTGAGACACCTCAAGCCAAATCTCTGCTTGGTCTAATCACTGCAACAAGTGATGCTGGAAAATCTATTGGATCCTTATTTTCTCCAACAACAGCTCAACCAACACCTCAGAGTACAACAGAACAAGGTGGCGGTCTCTTTTCTGGACTCAAGTCTCTTTCTGGAAGTATATTTCAAGAGGAAAAAAATGTTCCTGGAAAACAAGAACAATCAAATATCTCATTATTTGGCACAAAGATAGGTTTTCCTTGGCAGACAGAAGCCCCAAAGCCCCAAGCGACCACAGGCTTAACAAAAATTGACCAGCCGAAACACCCCATAGAAAAGAATCTTACTGATGGTGGTCAAAAACCTGAGCCGGTAGGTCCACCAGATCATGTAGAGAAACCCAGCATTTGCATATCCACTCCTGATGTAGACTCTCCAGCCTCCCTACCCCCCAAAGAAATGGACAACCTTGTAGAACCATATCCTGATACAGGTCTTACCTCTGGAGCGCAGCTGGACAACCGGTTCAAGAAGGAGCTATTAAATGCAAGGCTAGTAAAAGCTTAATCAATGGCAATCCATTTTATCCATTTATAATGCATTAACTTTATACTGATGAAACTCCCCTGTCCAGCTCTGCAGTCCTTTCTTAGATTTGGAATACTAGCTTCAGATTCATGTTAATGTGTTTTGAGATTGTCCTGTGTTTAGTTATTTTAGTTTAAGCTCAAAATCCCTTGTAAATTTTGCCACCATTAAATTTACAAAATTATCAAATTACAATATACATTTTGTTTGCACATGGGATTTTGAACTTATTTAGCAGATTTTTGTGGCATTTTGCTTCCCTTTGTTTCCATAAACTGCGTTTTTCAAAGGTAAAGTTTTGTCTAAATTATAGAAATTCCTATTGTAGTTTCTGAAGTGCTTGATTAGTTAGAATACATGTACACTAACTGGTTAAATAACACATTCTAACATTTATTTCCTTACCCTTTTTTCAATACTGTAGTCCAGTGGAAAGTAGTCGCTTCGGGTCATCTGGAAACTTGAGCCAGACCAGCTCCCAGCTTAGTGAGACTGGCCAAAGCACTGGCGGCTCTGAGCTAGAGGAGTCATTCCACTCCTACCACAGCGTAGGCTTTCATCCCTCTTCTAATGGTCAGCATCGCACCAACGGGCATCTCTCGGCCAGTGGACATTCTGTCATCAGTGAAAATGAACGGCGACCCTTGACAGATGAAAAACACACACTGAAAAGTACCAGTTCATCAGAGAGAGGTTCAACGAAGCTCTTGAGGTTGATATTTATTTGTAATAATTGCATAATATCAATGTATTTTCTTTGCACTCAATTTATGGTTGAATCCTAGGTTCCATGATGATGGTCCACCACTACCTTTTTCCCCATCCAGACTTCGCTGGTTAAAGGCCATCAATAAAGTTAGAGTTCAAATTCGTGAGGTAAGAACGTCTAGGCTATTCTAACATGCATAATTGTTCAAAGTGGTAGAATTTTACCTTTCTACTTCAAATTCATATTATCTATTACTGCACATTTTTGTTCTGCAACTTTGTTAGAAGTTAAAATCATCTTATTCTCTCAAAGCAACTGGTAATTCCCTATTTTATTTCCTTTTTCCCAGTTATTAGGTAAACCTATGTGAAATCCTGAACTTTAACTTTTTTTTTGTTTGCTTTTTTTACTTGTAATGTTCATTCTCATTCATGTATTTTAATAATATGTATTAAGCCGTTTTCCTTTCATTACCTGCCTGTACCAAATTCTGTATTTTGAAATAGAAGAATCAACTAACAGGTTGGTGTGTGCTGCAAGAGGCACAGCCCTATAATATCATTGTGCTATTATAAATTGTTAGATCAGAAGGAGAGAGAGAGAGAGAGATAGAGAGAGAGAGAGAGGGGGTGAAAGTGTGCAAGAGGGCAGGACAGAGAAGGGGGTGGGCTCTTGTGTGAGAGTGAGCCACTCTGAGATCATGGTGTAGTGCTGTTGGAAAGTGGCATATTATTCAGTGTTTAAGATTTTTGGGATTCACATGAGACTTATTTTGTGGCATTCACCTGTAGCAGTGTGCATTGTTGAAGTTTTCTTTTTCTTTTTGCCTTTTCTCCAAACCACTTTTCATGTGGATGTTTTTAAAATCACAAAATTTTATGTTTTATTTCCTGTGCTTATGAGGTAAGAATTTACAATAATATGCTTTATCATTGTCATTGTAATGTTTTGATTATCTTTCCTGTGCAGTTAATCTGTACAGTTAATCAAATTTTAATCAAGATTAAGAGTCAGTACTTTCTAATTGTCAAATACAGGCTTGAGTCCTTTTAATCCAGAGGTCCACAACCCAAACCTCTGCCACTGAAATTATCAGGAAATGAACACTGATGGACTTTTTAATAAAACAGCAGAAGTAAAATGTAAGCAGAAATAGTGATCCATCAATTTGTGGAAAAATATTTGATTAATCTTTATTGTTATATTGACCACCCCTATTATTAACTAATACCAGGGCAAGCAACAGGGTCCAGATATAATGTTAATGTAGGGGCAGAGATTGAAAGTGCAGCTGTTTCAATGAGATGGCCATAGTGGAGAATTGGCATGTCTTGTAATTACTGAGTTTAGCAAGCCTTTTCCAAGAATACAATTAGAGCTCCCTGCAGCTGCTTGTTGCCACTTATGAGCAGGCAGTTGCTTGTTCTCTTGTTTTATGTATTTGTATCTACTGAAAACAAATGGTGACAATAAATGTGCATTGTGTATATTGCAACTGTTCAGGAGAAGCTGATCCAGTGGCTGATTGAGGATGTTTTAAAGAACACCACAGTGGACAGGATGAGGGCTACACCAAAGACACTGCTGCTATATCTCCCAAAAGAAGAGAGCATGGCAGAAGGGGATCACAAAGTCCCAAAGTAGGAAAAACACTGTGCAAAAAACTACAGAAATGTCTTCAAGCACAAGAAGAACTTTCTCTTGAAGATCTGTCATCACCAGCCATGCATGGACAGAAATCTGATTTCAACCCACATGTAAACAAAACCTCAGATTCTTTGGATGATAGTGGTGTCGGAGAGGATATCACAACTAACTCAAGTGAAACTATCAAAAATGAGGAAGATGGCCAAGGTTCTGCTAATATTGTTGAGCATATACTTAAAGAACTTAAAGGTATCAATAAGATTCAGGAAGAAATTTCCGACCTGAGGGACTATCTTACATCTGTGCGGGGTTCTGTAGATGAAGTCTCATGTTGCGTTGATGCGGTGCTCAGTGAAATTGGTGAGCTGTACTGTGGAGCTTCGGCTGCTACACCTCATTCCAGCCCTGTTCTTCAAATACCAAGCCTTAGGCAAGGACACCTCGGCCGACAGAACGCTGTTACATCTTTGCATTCAAGTCCGCTTTTTGATCACAAAAACTGGGGAGAAGAATTCAGTCACCACCACATTCCTTCACCATCACAGTGGAACCTAGATGTTGTTCAATTAAACCAGCAAATGGGGGGTAAAAATATGCATTTATTAAGTCCATCAAAAGGTAACCCCTGTTTTCCGGAATTTCAATTTGGCCAAGATTGTCAAAGCGCCTCCTCTTTATCCACATACAATAGTTTGAGTGTTCCTCAAATGTGCACCAAATATGACAGTTGGCGTAATGCTTGCGGCCAAGGTCAATGGATTGAGGAGGGCCTGTGTTCTTCTTCGTACAGTAGAGAGGAGTCGGATTTGGGTGTCTGGGACAGGGGTGCTGTGGAGACACAAAGTAGTACCCCTGGGCAATCATCAAATAATAGCTCTGAACATTTGTCTTTGCTGTTTGGGCAACACTACAACTCTCCATCAAGCTCCTCGAGTATGATAGACTGGGGACCTGCTAGGCTTCAACAGGACAAACAAAACCTAGAGTGTGACTGCATTGCTACCTGTCCATACTCACGTAGCTCAGGTTACCACACTGCAGAAGCCTGTCCACATGAAACGGGTAGCGGACCATCTAGAAGCATGAGCTGCTCTACAGTGCTTTTGACAGATTGTGAAGACGTTTATTTAGAGACACAATCTCACTGTGATGATTGTCCATCTTCTGGTGACACACTTGATCTGGGGTCAGAGGACAGTTTAGACAGAGACTGGACTGATCCCAGCATGTCCAGGGATGATACTGGGGAGTCTTTTTCACAAGCATCTTCAGAAATTCCTCTAGAAGGATCTACAAAGTCTCCTGTTGGTTTTGATGTAGGGACTTTTACCAAAGCAGTATTATCATTTCAGTTGGCCTTGAAGGGGGCTTTTAAGTTGGATGGGTCAAGCTCTGATGTTGACAGACCTGTTTCTGCTTTGTCTATTAGTATACAATCTAATGAAGTAATAGAAAAAGAAGATAATGTTGATTTAAAAGAGGAAGGCGATAATCTGACAGATATTGACTCAAATGTTGAAACATCAAAGGATGAGAGTGAGACCTCAGCATATAATAGCTGTGCCTTGGAGACACATGAAATCACATCTTTACCAGAATCCCACAGTGAAGAGTGTCAGTCATCTTGTGGTCTTACTGAATCAAATTCTTTGGAGATCTCACAAACAGATGATAAGAGCAACAACCCAACAGGTATAGAGCCCACAAATGATGTAACTCCAAATGTTGGTCATCTTACAGAGAGTCCAATGGTTCTGAGCCCTCTGAGTTGTGAAGAAATGAGATTGAGTCCAATCAGTGAAAACACTATTCTTGAAGAGACTGAATTTCCAAAGCCTACAGACCCCAGTCACAGGGAAAGAATTGCAAATTTTCAAAGAATACTGAGGGAGAAGAGGCTAACTCGGCACAGACTGTCCAAGTCTGGCCACGGATCCCAGGGATCTCAAGGATCATATGGGTCTCAAGGTTCACAGGGGTCACAATCACAAGATGAGTTTTTCATAGGTAAACATTATTATTATTATTATTATTATTATTATTATTAGTAGTAGTAGTAGTAGTAGTAGTAGTAGTAGTAGTAGTAGTAGTAGTAGTAGTAGTAGTAGTAGTAGTAGTAGTAGTAGTAGTAGTAGTAGTAGTAGTAGTATATGGAAGGATAGTTCAGTATTTTTTAACTACCCAACACTACTAGCAATACATGATAATTGGCACTTTTTCGTTTAGTTTTGGAACAACCCTTCTGTTAAACTCGATTTGATTGTGGTCATATCTCAAGAAAGTTTTTATCTTTTTTTTTTTTTTTTTTGTATCAGGAATTTGAGTTTACAAAATACAAAACTATCCTTTTTAAAGTACACTAAAAAGATTAGTTTTGGGTTGTGTATTTGTCCAATAATGTTTTCAATCCAGTTTGTATTGGTTATTTTCAGATATTTGGAGAGACGATTTTCAGGTTATTTATTCCTATTCCAGATTTCTGTGTTGTTTTCCTTATAACTTTCTCACATTGTTATTTTTATTTATCATTCATTTTATTATTTTTGGACAATAACTTGTGTGCAAAGTTGATTTACTCATCAAGGTTTATAAAGTGTGTTGCTTCATAAATGCACCTGAAATACAACATTATCATTCTTATATGATATAAAGTTATCATATAACATTACATCAAAACCAATGGAGACTTTTCTAAAGGCATATACTGTGCACATCATTGCCATATATGTCTCTAGAACTTTTTTAATTTTGCATGTGTTTTTATAGCAGAGAGGTAAAACTCTACCACTTAATTTCCTTTTTTTCATTTTGTAAACCACTTGCTTCTTGCTGATTAATTATCATAAATCATTTTATTCAAATTCATATAGAGTCGTGAGGATGAACCCAGCTCAAGGCAAGCATGGGTTAAGCCAGGGTAAGTCACATGGAATATATGTAAACCATCCATTTATGTAATTATAAATGTGATTTTGGTCTCACATTCTTTCTTACATTTTTATCACTAGTGGTGGAACTGGTCTCTATGGAATTGATAGCATGCCTGACCTACGCAAAAAGAAACCAATCCCACTGGTCAGCGATGTGGTCAGTACTTTTCATTCCTTATTTACAAATGCAAGTGTATCTGTTTTGTATATTCTTGTAGTAAATGTATACTCTGTATGTGATTGTTTTTGAGTAAATATTGTTTTAATGTGTCAGTGTGTCATAGAACTTTATTGTAGATTGATGAATGTGGATGATAGATGAATCTGGGAAAAGTACAATTGTTTCAAAAGGCAAAAGTCAGACATCTAATTTGTCTCTCCCTCCTCTTTTAAACCTCAAACTATTCCCCACAACTCTTTTGAATGCATTCACTCTCGTTGGTCAGGCTATGGTAAGTTTTGTAGAAACAAGTTCCCACTCCCTTGTAAATATTTATCTAATTAAACTAACCCTCACTCCTACAAAATAATTATTTGAATATCATGCTATTTTTTAAATGCAAAAAGTAACATTTTAGAAACCTGGGATTCAGATTTGCATGTGCCCTTTTTGTTTTTTTATCCTTTGGTCATGGGTTTCCCTTTTTTAATCTACTTACTTACCTACTCACAAGTATTAAAGTGGGTTGCAGTAGTTACTAACAAGTTCACTGAAATTTATTTTAACACTGCTGACCATCTCAGGAAGCAGGCCTGTCACTCACTAACACCTCCTGGCTGAGTAGTAACACAAAGATTCTCCTTGGTTGTGGGTTAAACCATTGGATTGAATAATTTTAAGTTAACTTTAATGTTTCGTCAATACAGTCCCTTGTCCAAGCAAGGAAGGCTGGGATTGCTTCAGCGATGGCTGCTCGGTCATCAATCAAGGATGAAGAACTTGTAAGTCAAAACAGTGAAGTGGACTGATCTTTGCTTAAGTCAGTATCTAAAATTTGTATTATAATGTTTATTTTTTCCATTCTTGTGTAGAAAAATAATGTGTACAAGAAGACCCTACAAGCTCTTATCTACCCAATATCTTGTACAACTCCACACAACTTTGAAGTCTGGACGGCTACAACACCCACGTATTGTTATGAATGCGAGGGGCTGTTGTGGGGTATAGCCCGCCAAGGTATGAGGTGTTCTGAGTGCGGGGTCAAGTGCCATGAGAAGTGCCAAGAACTGTTGAATGCTGACTGTCTGCAAAGTAAGTATTTCATCATTGACAAGCTAAAGTCTGTGCGTGTTTTTAAAGGTCTCTATAACCCTATTTTCTGATCTCTGTTATAATCTTGTTTCCCATTTCAAAAACGTACCTGGAGTTGTGTTTTGTTTCATTCACACGTTTAACACACAAACCCTGCATATTTAGTCCTGTTTCTGTTTATTTTCTTAAACAGAAAACACTGTTTGACCTTGTGATTTCATGTGGCAATATAGGACATGTTCAACTGTGATTTTTAAATACACCTTCACTTGAATCATTTGGATGATTTCAGCTATGGATTTGCCAATCTCTGCTGAACCAAAGGTTTAAGGTAGCTGTTAACTACCACTACATGACATCACAAGGTGAAACAAAGCATTTTCAGCTTTGGAGATGTATACAGACTAATAATATAGTATTTTTCAAACATGTGTGAATGAAACAAAACAGAACTCCAGGGATGATTTTGAGGGGGTAACAGCAGTAACTCACAAGAATCAATGTTGTTTAATATAGGACCTTTAATACTTTGTGTCATTACTTTAGGGGCTGCTGAGAAGAGCTCGAAACATGGAGCTGAAGATCGGACTCAGAATATTATAATGGCCATGAAGGACAGAATGAAAATCAGAGAAAGGAACAAACCAGAAATCTTTGAACTGATTCGTGAAGTATTCGCCATTAGCAAAACTCTTCATGCCCAGCAAATGAAGACAATCAAACAGAGTGTACTAGATGGAACATCAAAGTGGTCAGCCAAAATCACAATTACTGGTGATTATAAACTCATTCCACATACACTAATGAGTTGGACGGATGATGACAAGTTAAATTCTTATTACACAGTATGTTTAACTTTTTGTTTGTTTGTTCCTTTAGTTGTTTGTGCTCAAGGACTTCAAGCTAAGGATAAAACTGGATCAAGTGACCCCTATGTTACTGTGCAAGTTGGAAAAACCAAGAAGAGAACAAAGACCATTTATGGCAATCTCAATCCAGTTTGGGAGGAAAAATTTCACTTGTAAGTTGCAAAACTGTACTTTTGCTCTTGACACTATTTATATTTATTTGTGTATATATATATATATATATATATATATATATATATATATTTTTTTTTTTTTTTTTTTTTTTTTATCTTAGTGAATGCCACAATTCTTCAGACCGAATCAAAGTGCGGGTGTGGGATGAGGATGATGACATAAAGTCCAGAGTGAAGCAGCGACTCAAAAGGGAATCAGATGACTTCCTTGGTCAGAGTATTATTGAAGTTCGCACACTGAGCGGAGAAATGGACGTGTGGTACAACCTTGGTTAGTGGTCTCTTATTTTTTTTAATGGACTTCCTTATTGCCTACAGTATTACCACCTTGTCTATTGAGTCAAGGAGATAATTTCAGCTATAGTTTTATCTTCAGTGTGCAGCACTGTTCATACTAGTTTGTTTTTTGTGAGTGCGTTCACACTCTCACACACTACGTAAACATAACTGTGAAGTAAATTTGGTTTAGTCCAGGACTAAACAAGAACTAGAACAGAATCAAACTAAGTCCACATCAGTATTGCAGTGGGGTCAAATTAGAACCAAATCAGGACTAGAGTCAGATTTTTACAATCTTGAAACCATGAAAAGCAGAACTAGTTCATCGTAAATGGTTTGTAGTGATCCAGAATTATTCCTCGCTTATCTTATGCATTTCAATAAGTCAGATTATTTCACTTGATAAATTAACTGGTAAAGCAACAATGAGAATGCTAGCACTGCACTTCCTGATTATTGGACAACAAGCTTTATAAAACAGAACACAATGGTCTTATTTTGACTTTAAGAGCTGCTCAAACACATGACAAAAATCAGGTAGAGCTCTTTAAATATTAAGTCCCCTAAAGTATAGAGATGCTTTGTCCTTTTGCCTATATTTTCTATATTGTTGTCCTTTTGGTAATTGCCTGAGTAAATGAATTGAACGTCATTACTCTTGCTTTTCTTCACTCAGTTCTACATAATAATTTATGATTATACATTTGCCGATCCAGGTGCATAAGGTTCCGTCAGAAAGGCCAACAGTAACATTACAATGTTTAACTTACTTTGGCAGTGTCTCGATGGAAACTTCCCAAATTTGTAAAAAGAAGATGCCTAGAAGAGCACCCATTCTGAAACATTATCGTTATGATCTGTCTTATCTGAAAGACTAGTGTGTTCCTACCAAAGCACAAAGCATCTTGATTAAAGTGCTTATAATGACATCATCGTTGTAACAATAAATCTCTCAGAGCTATATGGCACGGAATGTAAATGTGTCTATAAATCTGCAGTAGTTGTTTAAAACCTGTGGGACACGAGGTGTCCTGTTTAATATCATACTCATCACAGTAATAAAATCTGCATGTGCTTCGATTCATTAGAAGTCACATCACTTACATCACCATAAATCTCCTTTGGCACATGCACCATCTTTCTAGTGCATTATCTTTTGTATCCTTGTATCTTGGTTCATTCTCCGTGTTTGATGATCAACTAGAAGCACTTTAGTTGGAAATCGACCTCTTTGGCGACATGTACAAATTACCACTAATGAGGGCTCTGTCAGGGCAAATAGTAGGGGAGAGTTGCCAGGCAGCCTTCCTCCAGATCAGCTTTAGTTCAAATGTATTGGGTGGTCAGATGCACTTTAACGCAGTTGCGACATGCTCTTTCTCTCACCATCAGCTGGAGGAATTTGGCTGGTGTTAAAGTGCACTGCTATCACGCACTGTAAAAACACAGCCCCAATAATAGAACTGCCACCGTGATTGTCTGTAATTAGTGCTATGTTGAACAGACTTGCTTTTACTGATCTCTCTTACAGATATGAATCAATGAATGTGCAAGTAAATTTAAATGTTCTAAATGTCATGACACAAAGAATTAGTGGAACAGTGGTTGAGTGCGTAGCATTCTCGCCTCATAGCGAGAAGGTTTTGGATTTGACTCCTAGGTCGCCCAGGCCTTTCTGTGAAGAGTTTGCACGTTTCTCTCTATATCTTGGTGGATTTCCTATGGACACTCTGGTTTCTCCCTCAGCACAAAGCATGCACTATAGGTAAAATCTTGCAGCTAAGGTGGTCCTAACCAAGACTAGCTCAAAATCTTTAAATGGGTCCCCAAGCCTCTACTTCTACAGGTTGCCCCAGTAGTATTGGCAAGAAACAATTTAATTGTTTATTCTGCATTCAGCAGTTTCTCTTCATTGTGGCACATTTAAATGTGATGTTTTACTGAAAATGAAATGACTGTTCTATTTTGAATTACCAGTTCAAAATGTATTGTAAAAAATGCATCATCTTTGTTTTGCTCTGGATGCTCATTTGCTTCCAGATGTCCACAGGTTAATTTATTATGCATGGACCATTGTTGGCAGTCTTTATAAGTCTATATAAATAAAATTGCAGTAACTTTTTTTTTTTTTTTTTTTAACAGAGAAGAGAACCGACAAGTCTGCAGTATCAGGAGCCATCCGACTTCAAATCAATGTGGAAATCAAAGGAGAGGAGAAAGTAGCTGCATATCACATCCAGTACACATGTTTGCATGAGGTACCGGCATGTACATATACAGCTATGCCAAAAGATTCAACTTCATTAATACTATTTATTTTTCAACAGAATCTTTTTCACTATTCAACTGATGTCCTGGGCCAAGGCGTGGTGAGAATCCCAGAGACCCGTGGGGATGATTCCTGGAAAGTTTACTTTGATGATGTGGCTCAAGAAATAGTTGATGAGTTTGCGATGCGTTATGGAATTGAATCAATCTATCAGGCCATGACGTGAGTATTATAGTGCATATTTTAGTGTTGTTCTATAAAAAAGAATCATTCTACCCAACAAAAAATTGTTCTGGTACTGCTTAAGTGGCCTGGGGTTTAGATGGCAGAATACATGTAGGGCAGAGGTCTCCAACCTGTAGCTCGGGAGTTACCAGTAGCTCTCCACCCCCTTCCAAGTAGCAGTTCAGTTTGAGTATTGACTTTGACAATTTTGTCCCATGCTTCTTATCGGAGGTTAAAGGTCTTAAAAATTTGAAAATATAACCAGTTTATTTAAAAATGTTTGCAGCTAAATTATTTCTTGCTTTCTGTATGCATTCCAACTCAGAACATCCTAATTACTTTCAGAGAGAGTTTTGCCATCCCACTATTGCTAACAACAGCAAGCATGCCCACAGTACACCAGCATTACTTCTAAAAACACTTTATAATTAGGATGCTCAGAATGCCTAAGGTAAGTGAGGAATAACTTTGGAAAACTCCAAACTGTGTAAAATGAACTAGTTCTGTTTTTCACATTTTAAAGACAATAAAAATATACAACATCTTTCAAGCAGATTCCTCAAAAACAGACTAGCTTCATTTAAATATTTAAAAAATCACTGGCCTAATCTTGCCTTTGTCACTCCTGGCTTAACAGCAGTGCCAGAGACTGTTGTTGTTCTCCTATATGAAGCCGTCAGTATAAAGTCCCTGTCGATGGATTGGTCGCAGTGAAGTGTCATGCTCTCTACATATGCCTGTTAGCTCAGCCCATCACTCACACAAAGTACACTCCAATGGGCCATCCCTCAGCCTTAAACGCGCCCCATAACTCAGCACATGGTGAAATGACCTCACATCACAGAAATCATTATGACACAGGCAGCCGCTCATGTGCACTCCCTCACTGTTGCACCGAGCTCCAACGAATCAAGGACTTCTACTTCAGATGGTGGATTGGTTTAAGGCCCAATAGTATTTAATTGTATTTGTTTATTTATCCTACATAGCTTTCAGCCTTATTAGAATGGTGTATCCTCTTCAAAATAAACATTATGTGAATCAAGTAATTAAGGTAAGGTAAAGTACACATTATGGTCCCCATAGGGAAATTTGTCCTCTGCATTTAACCCATTCCTCAGTGTCGTTGGGGCAACTCCAGGAGTAGTGGTCACACAGTCACATACCCAGGATCCATCTCCATGACCTTGTTGCTAGGCTGAATAGTTTGTATGGTTTATTTGGCATTTAATGGCATTTTATTTGGCAACTAATGGTACTCAGTAAAATTGAAGTAATAGTCCAGCAAATAAAATATAAAAAACATATTTAGGGAACGTATTACTCAAGTAAGAGTAATTGTCAGAGTAACATCTGATTTATAATTTAAAACTCAAGTATTAGAAAAGTATGTCTGAAAACTGCACAAGCTTTTTTAACTTAAGTACTTAAGTAAATGTAACTGAGTACTACCCACCTCTGTATAGCGGATTGTATGGCAGCTGAGACCTTATTTTCTAGACACATACCATTTTGAAGTAATATTGAAGATGCCTTAAGTAGTTTAAAAAGTAAACAAAATTAGGTTGTAGGATGTTAATTTACAAATATTTTCATGTTTAATGATTATATATTTAGTTAGTGAAGAGCTTGGTTTAACTGAGTTTCTGTTCGCAGCCATTTTGCCTGCCTCTCTTCTAAATACATGTGTCCTGGAGTTCCTGCTGTGATGAGCACTTTACTGGCTAACATCAATGCATTCTACGCCCACACCACTGCCTCCACCAATGTGTCTGCCTCCGACCGCTTCGCAGCCTCCAATTTTGGGGTTTGTACATTTCCTCTAATGCATACAGATAATAGTGGCTACTGCTGAATGCAACATGTTCTCAAATTGTACTTTGTCAAACCTACAGAAAGAACGTTTTGTAAAGCTCTTAGACCAGTTACACAATTCTCTGCGGATTGATCTCTCGACATATAGGGTAAGGAGAGTGCTGACATGTTAACAATGCCATACTATACTGTATATGTGTTCAAGTCAAGTCAATCTATAAATTAGGCAATTAAATATGATTTAATGTTTGTATTTGAAATTTGAAATTAGGCGGGACGGGATTGATGAGGAAAAATTTAATTTCTTGTATCTTGTGAAATTATTGCATTCCCCATCAAATAAATACATTTATGGTTGTAAATTAAGAGTAAAATAACCATACAGGTGAAGATTTTTTAAGATGAAGATTTAACAATTAGTTTCATGTTCCAGTGAAACCTTATGTTAAAAGAAAACTAAACTAAAACAATATTTAATAAATTTGTCATATTTTATTCTAGAATCACTTTCCTGCAAGTAGTAAAGACCGCCTACAGGATCTGAAATCTACAGTAGATCTTTTAACTAGCATCACTTTCTTTAGAATGAAGGTAAGCAGTGTAATTATTGATCAAAAATAACTTAAATCAACCTTGGAGCCACTCATCTTTCTATATGTAAATATATAGGTACAAGAATTACAGTCCCCACCCAGAGCCAGCCAAGTGGTGAGGGATTGTGTTAAAGCCTGTTTAAATTCCACCTATGACTACATCTTCAACAATTGCCATGAATTATACAACAGACAGTACCAACCCATGGACTCTGTAAGTTATTAACAAGATTTACTAACAATACTTTGAACCACACATCTACTCCAACTACTAATACTGCCCATGTTTTGTTTTGTTTTCTTTAATTATTATTATTATATCTATAGAACAAAGAGGAAATACCTTTAGAAGAGCAGGGTCCTAGCATCAAGAATCTAGACTTTTGGCCCAAGCTGATCATGCTGATTGTGTCTATCATTGAAGAGGACAGAAACTCGTACACACCTGTACTAAATCAGTGAGTAGCAATCTGCAAAGGTCCTGTATTAAATACAAAATTGACTTTTGAGCTTTTAGCAATGTTACCAATGGTCACCTCGTCAAAGACATTCCCGGAGATGTGTTTTGTTTCTCAAAATGCTCTGTTCAACCTTGTGATGTCATCAATGGCAGTGTCATTTTTAAGTTGACATCTACCTTTTACTTTTTTGTAGTAGAGACAAGCCTTTCTAGGGCTGAAATCATCCAAATGATTCTAGTGAATGTGTATGGAGTTTTAAAACACAGAGAGCATGTTCTGTATTTATTTATTTATTTATTTATATAGCGCTTTCACAGACATTTTCTGTCCCCAAAGATGCTTTACAGAGCATTATTCAGCATTATTCATTCACTCTATACCTGGTGATGGTAAGCTACTATTGTAGCCACAGCTGCCCTGGGGCACACTGACAGAAGTGCGGCTGCCATGCCACTCTGCGCCATCGGCCCCTCCGACCACCACCATCACTCATACACACACCACTTTCATACTAGGTAATGTGGGTGAAGTGTCTTGCCTAAGGATACACACACAATGATTGAATTGATTGTATTTAATTGATCTTAGGGATCTAAGGTTGACTTGTATTATCATAAGACATCACAAGTTGGAACAGGGTTTTCTGTTTGAGAGAAGAATTCAGCCTAAATATGCAGGATTTGTGTGTTAAAGTTATGTGAATGAAAGAAAACACAACTCTTTTTGATGAGGAAACAGAATTATAACATAGACCAGAAAGTAGCACAATACAGGCTTATTAAAATAGAGCATTACATTTATTTGTTTAGTTTTGGTTGTTAAAACTATGCAAAAGAACTTCATATCTCTGTGACAGGTTTCCACAAGAGCTGAATGTAGGCAAAGTGTCTGCTGAAGTCATGTGGACGCTGTTTGCTCAGGACATGATGTACGCTATGGAAGGTCAGTGTTTGACATTTAATTACAATAACGATAATTTTATTATGGTTATGGTTATCTTCACATTGCCAAAGCACAAATTACAGACCATAAACATTATGCAGTACACCTTTAAAACAAAAATGACATGAGAATGAAATCTGACAATTAATGTAGTAAAATCATATGAGAAGATGAAAATACAACTGAAAAAATATGTATATATCCAGTGTGAAAATGGATTTTGGGGACAGAATTTATTCAGCTACACAGAGCCAATGAAAATGTGAAATAATTCTCGAGCAGAGTTTGAAAGCTGCTTATGTCTCCCTGGGGTCCCTCTCTGCTCTACTGTGCTGCCCTCGCCCCAAGCTCTTACTCAGGCCTTGTCCTCGAGATGATCCCTCACAGACTCTATCACTATGGAAAACCATCACTGGATGAAATATAGCAGTGGTCACCTATTCCACCTCCTCCTTTTCCATTTATTAATAAAGAGCATGAAGCATAAGAAATACGTACAAAAAATTTCAGATGTGATCAGAGAGGTTTTAGGAAAACACACGTCAGACAGGAAATTGTTTAAAGACACTGTACTGGATTTACTGCCTTAAAATGTGGAAAAATATTAACAAAATTAATCATTGCACTTATGTAGCAACTTTCAAGACACCCAATGCATTTTACAGAGCAGTATTCATTTACTCCACACTTGGTGGGGGCAGACTGACATTTCTCACGCATAAGTAAAATTTAGTTGTGTCTTTATTTCTTTAGAACATGAGAAGCATCGCCTGTGTAAAAGCACAGACTACATGAACCTTCACTTCAAAGTCAAGTGGCTCTACAATGAATATGTCAAAGAACTGCCCAATTTTAAGGATGTAATTCCTGACTACCCATCGTAAGTCAATCTCACTTTAGTCAAAAACATATGTTTTCCTTAAGCCTCACATGTACTCACAATAGCCTGTTTTATTTTGCAGCTGGTTTGTCCAGTTTGTGCTCCAATGGCTGGACGAGAATGAGGATGTGTCTTTAGAGTTCATGCACGGAGCCCTGGAGAGAGACAAGAAAGATGGAGTAAGAGAATTCTCTTTGAAATGTTGCAAAACATACAGTTCAGTTGATAGAGATGTTTGCCCACTAATCAGATGGTTGAAAATTAAATTCCTACCAAAAGCCTTGAGTGGCTATATGCGTTAGAGTGCGTTTGGTGCTGGTCTGAGAAATTGAGGCCAAGAACATAAAACTCACTCATAAACTCACAGAGGTCAGATTGGAGTTTTACCTTCTTTTTAATGCTAACAATAAATAGCAAGCTTACAGTGTATGATTTGTGGTCAGTAAAAACGCTTTATAATTAGGCAGCAAACAGCGGTTTCATTTTTACCCTAATAGTTGCTTTTCCAATATATATGGTATGTACTTTATTATTACCGGTATATAGAAAACATAAATAAAACTCCAACACTAGTTTCTGAAATTTTTTTTTGTTTATTTCATCAGTTCCAGCAGACTTCAGAGCATGCCCTGTTCTCCTGCTCTGTGGTAGACATTTTCACACAGCTTAACCAGAGCTTTGAGATCATCAAAAAACTGGAGTGTCCTGATCCCAAAGTCATGGCACAGTATAGCAGGCGATTCTCAAAGGTAAATGTATGAGTAATGACCAAAGAACAGCGTTTTGTAACTTGTATAAATCTATAATGTGTTTTTTTTTTTTTTTTATTCTTTTTAGACTATTGCCAAAGTCCTGCTGCAGTACAGTGCCATTCTCACCAAAAGTTTCCCATCTTACATTGATAAAGAGAAGATTGTAAGTTTTGCTACAAAATGTATTTCCTTTAAAGGTGAACTATGTAATTTTTTGGGTTTCCGCCACTTGTCTCCATGGAGACATATCTTTGCCTGGGAATGTTCCACAATATGACAGTAGACTGATCTATCTTTTCCTTTTTTAATAAAATACATGCATTCTTACTGTGAGCCAGGTCATCACCACAAGCCAGACAAGCAGTCCACCAATAAAGTTATACAGTGTATATTAAAATAAAAGTCTACTCCTAAAATGTTGTCATAATTTTATTGTGATACATAATATATGTATAATATATATAATTTTATTGTTATTTTGTTTTTTCTTTCAGCCTTGCGTCTTGATGAATAACGTTCAGCAGCTAAGAATCCAACTGGAGAAAATGTTCGAGTCCATGGGTGCTAAACAGGTAAAAACATAGGATTGCAACTAATCCCTAAATCAATGCTAACTTTGAGACCTGACTGTGCTCAGTATTCCATAAAATTTATGTGTGTGTGTGTATACACACACACACGCGTGCGCGCGTCAAATACATACACAGCATTTAGTGATTATGGGGTATGATAAATGGATATTGCCAAATGATTTATATTATTTATGAATATGCCTCTCTACATGTTTATCCTGCAAATAATCACTCACCAATACTGATTACTAGACAAAAATCTTTTTTTGTTCTTGTGTGTCAGCTTGCGACACAGGAAGCACTGGTATGTACAGTATTGTATATAGCCTACCTAAATGTGTTACATAAGAGGTTTGACTTTGAAAATGCTTATAGTGACAGCTTTGTATTATGGATAGGAAGTGTGCCCTATCGGCTCATTGTCTTATTAGCGTGCTGAAAACTCCACCCTTAGATCAATACCCTTTAGAGATTAGGCCCTTAATAGATTTGAAAATGGCAAGAAATCACATCTATTAGCCTGTCAGTGGGTAAATCTAAATGGCCAGTGAAAATCAGATAACTAGAGTAATCAGATAACACAACAGTTATATCAGATTTTCAATGTGTGTTTAAACATTTCAAACTTGATTTTGATACTAAAGAATTAACTCAATACTCGATACTGGTTACGATAGCACAATGAAGATTTTAAAAAATGCTCCTTTTTAGTAATAGAATGTAATATTCACATACAGAATAATAGCATAATAATAGCATTTATCTTAGGTCTTATATTTGTTCTGATAAAGTTCAAAATGACACTAAAACTGGTCATATAGCTCAAAATTTTTGATTTCTTTCATCTTAAATAAGTATCTATATGAGTATCTAGTTCTGATATTAGTTTTAGTATTGATTGATATCAGATTCCCGATACTTTTGTCAACCCTAGTGTTTACATGCACAAAATAAATCAGAATCATATGTCATATGTCAACAGGTGTGAGAGTAACCGTTATGTTCAAAATTAACTCTTTCGGTCTCTAATTTACTCTTATATTTTTGCCTTTGCCACATTACCCTGCCCTTGGTACTTCAGGTACTTTGTTAAAACCTGCAGAGGTGTGAACAATTATTTTAAAAATCTGATCGCTAACATCTAACTGTACATGACATTTCAATAATCTGGTCTAATCAGATAATGATCAGATTTCTGGTGTGCATGTAAACATAGCCACTGAGCCTCCCCCGCTGTAGTGCTTTAGATGTTTAGGATAGATATTTAGATTAGTTAGTTATTACTTTTAGAGGTAGGTATTGAAAAAATGTATAGCGTAAATTATTTAAATTAATAGTATAGTAAAAAGTATGATTTGTTTCTGTGGGAGGAACAACAGCTTGTGACAGAGGAGGAGGAGGTAAAAGGAAATACAAAGCCATCAGTATGTATAGTGTAGAAAATACTAGCAGAAGTGTTATCATCACACTATGGCTGCGTCTCATTTCTCTTTCCTCGCGTCCTACTTCTTGATTTCGCTCCTCGATTCTGAAGTAAATGGTGCTGAAGTCCCACCCACAAAGGAGACAAAGGGAGGAGAGAGGATGTAAACTCCTTACTGAGACCAATAAAGTTTGATTATTTTATCCGACGTCTCCCTCCTGAAGCCTCCCTCAGGTTTACTCCTTCCGTGGTTTAGTTTGGGACAGCATTTAATATGACACATTTGATTGACAGCTGAAAAATGGACAAACGAGGAGAGGAATCAAGGAGAAGGAAGCGAGGAAAGAGAAATGAGATGCGGCCTAGGACTGTGCAATATACACTATTCAAATTATATTGCTGTTTCTCCAGGAGTAATAGAATTTATTTCGCAATTTTCAGTACAATATTCAACAGCTGGAATCACTGGTAATATTGTTCAGCCCTAGATGATTAGATCCCTTGTTTAGAGGTTAACCTAGACTTGTAAATAAGGTGTAGTAAGTATTAGGTTGTAGTATTAGGTAAGTAGTATAGTAGTATATAAAGAAAAGTATAGGTCATTCTGAATTGTGAAATCTTGAAATCACTGTGCTCTTATCAGGGTGCTTTGTAATAGTTTGATTAAGCTGCAGTTCTTAGGTAATAGGAATCATACTTGACCTTTTGTGGGGATTGTTCAGTTTTGTATAATATCCACTTACGGCCATTACTTTGACAACAGCAAGTCACATTTATTTTTCTTTCTTTTCTAGCGCAATTGTAAAACCTTAAATCTACAGGCAAGTTATTTGAATAAGCATGTTTATTTACTTTGAATATGCGGTTGGATCTAAGTGCATTATAGCAACCACTGCTTTTATTTTCTTAGTCTGATGAAAGCGAGGAGGAGGTCAATGAGGAACTTAAACTAGAAGTTGAGGTTTGTTGAGCACATGCAGTATGGAAGTTTTCCCTTTTCTTTCTCCTCAAATGAACCTAAATTGTGACTTATATCTTGTGGTTGATCCTATGCCCACACCTATTACCATTCTTATCAAAATACCTGCTTTATTTTTTACTACTTTTCATTTTTAACAATACCTGTTTTCTTTCTTTAAAAAAAGTCTGATGAGGAAAAGGTGGGTACTCGATTTATGGTATAGCTTAAGTATTAGAAAACAACTTAATCTTATTCATTATAAATATTTGCATTTTTTTTTTCTTTTTAACCTGTCATTTCAAAGACTGATGACACTGTGAAAAAGGTATATTACTAAAACAAATGTTTTCATTATAATCCCAGTAATAAGAAGACCCAGTATGTAACTTTTTTACCAAACAATAGATAGATTCAAAGCATGTTTTTCATTATGGGTGTGTTTATTGCATTGGAAAACATAGAAAAACATGTCTTCTTATTGTGAGTGGGCTTGTGTCTCCAAAAACCTGGCTTTTATTTGTCCCGGAGGAGAGCCTGTTCATGCTTGTTTCCATGGATATTGTTCTTTGGCTATAATAATCCGCAGTATGGCATAAAACTATCTCCATAGCAAGTCCCAAGTTCCGAAGTATGGTTTTAATTTTTTTTTTAATTTCCATGGAATCATGCAAGTGACTTTTCACCCCCAGAAAGTTACATACTACAGCTTTAACTATGTATAATTTTCACAACATTATGGATAACAAAGATTATTTCACTTTTTTGTTTGACCAGATTGAGATAGCCTTTCAGGACAAAAAGGTGAGTGTAGGTTGTCCCCCATATTTATTCATGATAGTAGCAAAACATGAGTGCTTGTGCTTGCCCGAAGTCTTCCCCTGGAACAGTCTAGTGGTTTCACCCCCCTCCTCATCAGTGCCCCTGTTCTATCCTTGGGCCAGAAACTGCTATTATTGGCCTAATGATCCATTCTTTGGTTTCATTCATAACCTCAAAACCCCGCCAGAAGAATTTACTGAGATGCTACTATGTAACTTTGCTATACTGGAGGAATTCTTAGATCTCTCCAACTTGCTTTGATAGGCACCGGTCTTTGCCTTTGAGCCTACTTGAATATGAATTTTGGAAAAAATACATACTGTATATTTAGCATTTGTTGTCTTTTATCAGGGTCCGTTTTAATCAGATCAAGAGGTGTTGTTAAAAAGGCATAATACCATATTTTTACTGTCTTAAAAGCCTCAGTTATTTCTCACTTTCTACATTCCGAGTGTCAATAATTCACCACGATGAGTTAATAAGTGCTTTCCACAAATTTGTTTGGGTTTTTGTAATGGATAACAAAAGGTATCACAAAATAATAATTTGGGTAAACCTAGTATTGTTTAAGTACTGATAACAAAACATAAAAGAAACATGATAAAGAAACACGATCCAGGCCTAGTTCCTTGTCAGGGTTTCCACATGGTTCCAAGCTAGTAATGTTCAATTCTTATTATCCTGTAAAGTGACCATTGCTCGTTGTGTGCTCCTTGTGTCTCCTCAGATGGACAGTGAGGCCAGTGACCTCCTGAATGACCTCCAGGTGAGACTCAACAACGTCCTGGATGAGCTCAGCAGCACATTTGGAAACAGGTAATCTGCTCAATGGATGATATTGTCTTGTTTGCAGAGATATATGATTTAAATAATTGCTCGTGTTGTTCCTAATCACAATTGCATTTGTGATTTATCATGTAAATAAGTCAATTACAAAGAATTGTTGTTTGTTTCTCAGTTTCCAGAGCCAGATCCGTGACTGTATGCGTCAAATGGCCTCTCTGCTGTATCAGATCAAAGGCCCACTCAACGAGAACACCAAGAACCTGGTGGAGGCAGATTCAGACAACATGCTCCGACCTCTAATGGACTTCCTGGATGGAAAGTGAGTACATTTTCCTTTATACAGGAGCAATTCATAAATTGGTGGCAAGGGGCTGGTGTTTGCATATTTAGCTCCATTTATTACTGTCTCATAATTTTTCAGATTCATATATGTAGCATGTGTAGCATCAAGACATCAAGTCATTCTGGGGTTGTTCTCACTGACAAGTACTTGTATTGGGCAAACATCTCAACAGCAGAACAAGTCTAGAAATCTTTAGTTAAATCCAGTTGAGAGAAAATAACAGACATCTTTCCCACCACTAATGTACAAAGTGTTTCCTTTTGGTATGTTTGTTGGTGTTGCCATGTTTGTTTTGGTTTATTTGGGTTATGTTTCTCCTTTGGCTTCGATCCAATCAGCTCTGATTGGACTGGTCATTTAGTAACTGAACCTACAGTGGTTGCCCATTCGCCACTGAGGGATAGGTTAAATGCAGGAATACATTTTCCTAGTATTGTCATTCTAAACCTTTATGTCCGTGTGTTGTGCAGGCTGACTCTGTTTGCCACTGTGTGTGAGAAGACAGTGTTGAAGCGCGTGCTGAAGGAGCTGTGGAGAATAGTGATGACCTGCCTGGAGAAGACTATTGTCCTGCCCCAGGGCAATGACACCTTTGTAAGTCATACCAGAGGCATTTGTCATGTAGATTTGAGTAGATGCAACATAAAAGCAGAAATTAACTTAATGTATTTTTACCCCAAGGGAGCACAGATCCTCTCCGCAGCCAAAGAACTCGGCCAGCTGTCCAAACTCAAGGTAAGATCTTCTTCTGAAGAAGGCAATATTACAAAAATGATATGACATGATATGTTTTTTGTCTTTTCTGATGAGTTGTGCTTGGTGCTGTAGGATCACATGGCAGGAGAGGCTAAAAGCTTGTCTCCGCGGCAGTGTGCTGTCATGGACGTGGCATTGGACACTATAAAGGTCAGTCAGAGTGAACTGTTGCCTTCAGTGGCCTTATTGCTTGGGATATAAATAAGTACAAATTGCTTTAGAGATGTTTTGTAAGATGTGATGTATACACTTTATTACTGTCTGTTGTCTGTCTGTACGTTTTCCTTACTTTTCCTATTTGTTTGTCAGCAATACTTCCATGCCGGAGGGAATGGACTGAAAAAGGCTTTCCTGGAGAAGAGTCCTGAGTTGTCTTCACTTCGCCATGCTCTCTCACTCTACACTCAGACTACAGACACTCTCATCAAGACCTTTGTGACCAGCCAGCATTCACAAGGTAGCACTTTCATTGCACTGTTAAGGTGTGTGTTTTTCTGAAGGAATTTTCATTATATTATTTAGTATTTCAATTAGATGAGGTTTTATAGGCAATATTGGAGTTTTAACCTTAATAAATCAGGCTAGGATTTATGATTAAATCCTGGTGTGTGTGTGTGTGACAAACTGCATTTTTTGAAAAGAAGTTAAAATGTACAGTCAATCTATGGAAGGTGTCTCAGTGAAATGAGCAAAAAAAGAGCAAATCTAAAACAAAATGAGTTTTGAGTGTCTGTACTGTTTTGGGGTTTTTTGACATGTGATTAACGTGTTTTTATCCCCTGTGCTGCGTCGTGCCAGTGCACAATGGGAAGGGCATTAGGTTTACTCCTAATGAAAAAATCCAGCCCAGCAGGGGTAGGTCACAACGGACTCTTCAGCATGTTCTCCCTGTGTTTGTGTGCATGGACCGGACAACCCCAAGTCAACCCTATCTGTACCATTATGATCAAGCATGATGAAACTAAGGCTGAAAGATTTAAGAAAAATATCAAATTGCAAAAAAAGAAATAAATAAATAAAAAACTCAAATTACAATACATGGTATACATTTTCGGGACTGATGTATAATCTTTTACTTCCTTTTGTATTTATGGGTTGCAGCTTCTTATTATAACTTTTTTTCATTGACGATATAAGAAGCTATTATATTTTATTTTAAATTCTTTATCACTGTGGCAGTGGTTCAAATTTGTCATCATTCTGATATCCATGGATGCGTATTGTACAATTTGTTGTCTGCAGAGATTTAATTTCCTTAAAATTGTATAATAGTAATTATTACTACACTTTTCTAATAGATTACAATTTCTGATTACAGTTTAAGGTACAAATTACTCTTATCTACTATGAAATGCAAACATTCAAATTACAATTTTGATTTAATTGTAATTCATCTTTCAGCCCTGGTTTAACCCATTTGTTGAACCCTTATTGTGCAACTCTTAATTTGATATTTTAAATTCTAGGCTCAGGAGTGGACAAACCCATTGGTGAAGTGTCTGTTCAGATTGAGCTCTACACTCATCCAAAGAGTGGAGAACGCAAAGTCACTACCAAAGGTTTGATTTTGTTTTATTTACATTTAAAAACTAAAAATGGTCTCACTAGACTAACTGCTTCTGATGTGTTTGGGTATAGTGGTGGGAGCCAGTGATCTGAAGTGGCAGACGTCCGGTATGTTCCGCCCTTTTGTGGAAATCACCATGATCGGGCCTCACCTCAGTGACAAGAAGCGCAAATTTCAGACCAAGTCCAAGAACAACAGCTGGTCTCCCAAATTCAACGAGACTTTCCACTTGTAAGTTGAAGAGTTTCTGTAGCAGCTCAGGTTACTGTTATATTATTGTTATATTATTGTATATTATGGTGTGTATATTATTGTATATCATATAGGAGTGATAATTAAGACACATTTGTTTGGTCTCCCATCCATTGATTGTATGACTTTATTTTTATTACTTTGCCAGGAATGCTTCTTAGTTTGACATTAAAGTTGCCTCTCTCCATGGGTAACAAGCAGGTGATGCCATCAGCCTAGTTACAGGTCAGATCTATGGAGACTAGGAAACCCTGCTCACTGAAAACAGCAACAAAGCGAAAGAAAAATTACATAGTTCTGAAATGTCATTATGCACTGGATATATTGGATTTATTGTTAACTTATTTAACTTAAGTTTATCTTGTTTTTCCAGCATTCTAGGCAGTCAGGACGGCTTTGAATGCTACGAGCTGCAGGTGTGTGTGAAAGACTACTGTTTTGGTCGTGCTGACCGTGTGGTGGGGCTTGCCGTGCTCCAGCTCAGGGACATTATGGAGAAGGGGAATTGCGCGTGCTGGTGTCCACTGGGCCAGAGAATACACATGGACGACACTGGACTGACTGCCATGAGAATCCTATCACAACGCTCCAACGACGATGTGGCTAAAGAGTTTGTGCGGCTCAAATCTGAAACACGGTCAGCAGAGGAGGGAAGATGAGGAAAATCAGATGCTTAAATAAGAAGGCCATGTTATGAAATCCTTATGTGTCTTAGCTGCTGTTTGCCAAGTATACCATTACATTGTCTATTACTCTATTTCACACTGGGTATAAGCTAGGGCTGTAAAAGCATAAATGAGTGATATTCGGTATCTTATGTTCAATGTTGCTATGATTATTGTTATACTTAAACATACATTTTGACACCACAATTTCAGACAAAAGAAAACAGGTGAAATATTAAATTTACTAATCAAACTGTGTCCAAAAAAAAAAATCAAACCAAATTTTAAAAAATGTTAATCTCTGCCAAGTAGAGAACTTTAGCATTATTGGGCTATCAGCAGTTAGTCTGTCAATGGGTATCAGAATGATGTAAAATTAGGACAGTTGTCATAGTAATTTAAACTAAAATGTTTTATCTTTTGAATGGTGAAAAGTTCTCCAAATTCTGTCTGTAACAGGAAGCATGAACTCATGAATATTGCAACAATTCAGCCCTAGTAGAAACCACCAAGCTACGCTGGGTGCTTTCACACTTGTCCCGGTTTAAGCCCAGTTTAGTTCTCATGTAGTTCTTGTTTAGTCCTGCGCTGATCCAGGGTTAGTTCTGGGTTATCTCTGAATTTACTCCCAATTATGATATGATGTATTTGCAAATGTGAATGCACTCTACAAAGGCACACCCACTTTGGTCTAAGATTTCTTTCACAAGATATTCCCAGTAGAAGGTGCCAGTCAATCCCCTTCGTTTTCAGTGTTGTCTTGCAATCAGCTGTGGCCATGTGTTTGATGCCTTACACTTAAACTGTGAACGTTTTTAAATGCTCTATACCCACTCTCCACTGTTATAATGTATGTGAATGTGAAAATACATGGTTCACCTTAATATTACAACTGAACAACTGGTAGCTACAATTCAGGCCTTGAATTTTCACTAAATGTACAGCTAGGACAGAAAGGTACTTAGAATTTATCAGTTGTGCCTTGCCATTGTTGTTACCGTCTTCCCCGAATTAACTTTAGAGATCTCAATATTGTATTATTATATATACTACCTTCATGTAAGAGAAGGAGGTCATAATCATGGTTCTTTTATTTATTTTTTATACAAACTCTATTTATTTGTGCTGCAAAGGCCATATTTTAAGTGTTTATTGTGTAAATGTGTTTGGGGATTTGCACAGTGGTTGAATGCTAGCCCTGAATTGTAATATTGAAGATTTATGTTGGGTATGAAAAGGTATGACACTGTAATGGTAAAATTATCACAAATTAACACACACTTAATCAAAACGCCTAAATGTAATTAATATAATATAGTTTACGCTACTTAAAGGACCTATATTGCACTATTTTCTGATCTATATTATAATGTTGTTTCCTCATCAAAAACATACCCAGAGTTGTGTTTTGTTTTGTTCACATGTTTAACACAGAAATCTTGCATATTTAGGCTTTTCTCTCAAACTGAAAACACTCTGTTCCACCTTGTGATGTCATGCGGCAAAATCATGAAGAAGTGCTCCACCGCTGCATACACCTGCAATAGTATAGTTTAGATAATTTTAGAATTGCCCATCTCTACTAAACAAAAGGTAAAAGTAGTAACTGTTAACTTCATGACGTCATAAGCTGAAATGGAGCATTTTGAGCTTTAAAGATGTGGACAGACTAAAAATTCAGGATTGATGTGTGTGTGAATGAAACAAAACACAACTCTGGGCATGTTTTTGATGAGGTAACCACATTCTAACATGGCTTAAAACTCACAAAAGTAAGTCAATTATGAGCAATATAGGACCTTTAAGTGTAATACAATTTCTGAGTGGCCTTAGTTTATTGTGAAATCTTTTAAGTAAATTTTTCAGTGTCTTTACACCCTTGGCACCTATTGCAGATTAGCCAATTTTTGCCTTTTTTTTTTTTTTTTCTCACCAAATGTAATTTTATCATTGTATGTCTGTTCACAAAAAAATATTCCTAGTGTCCTATTTTGTCTTCACTTCTAAGAGAGAGAACCTGTGCCAGTAAAATTATGAATTTCACACCATAATACTGACTTAGATCACATATGTAAATGTTCACATATCAAATCATGTAAAGCTCATCTTTATTACAATAAGGGTGGATTTTGTTTCTCTTCCTTGTGCCAATAGTGTCCATGTTTTTATTTCAGATTTAACCCTTTGTTACCCATCACCCTGTCACAATCCACTGCACTTCATTCTATTTTCCGCTTTATATCTGTGGTGTATTTTTGTTTGTTTTTTGTATCACTACTCAAAATGTTGTCATGGTGTAATCATTGTAATTACTGAATTTTGTATAAAGTCTTGGTAAAGTATAATAATATGTGCTTTTTTAATTATAATTTTTAATAATAATAGTAATAGTAGTAGCAGCAGTTGTAGTTTTTGTATACAAAATTTATCTAACAATGATTTCCAATCCATTATGGAGCAGCGCCTCCTTGTGGTGACTATTGGGGATGCATAGTGGAGCTTTAATTATTCTGCACTGTAAATGCTGTGCTATTGCTATGCTATTTTGCTATAAACCTTTTTAGCATCCTATCCAATCAAACTTTATTTTTATGGTAAATGTTCCCAGCACAAAGTCTCCAGTGCGCTGCATAGAGAAGGCACAATTAAAAAAATAATAAAAATCATAAATCCTACTAAAATCAGCAATGGAGAAATCAGGTGTTATTTGAACTCAGAAAACATATAAATATAATTTGCTTTTATTTGAATGCAAATGGTATTTTAACTGTTCTCATCTAACAATAATAACAGAAAGAAATTATTTTTCAGCATTATGAAAAGACCCACTCACTGCTGCACTTCTTAGGAGCTCATGGTGAACCTGGTTGGAAACTCAAAAGTTCAAAAACTCTTGTTTAACATAATTTTTATGAAATCAGTTCTGCTGATATCTTGAATATTGAATTTGCACAAAAAGTACAAAAAGATTTATTTGTTATGAATGTCATAAAGAAACAACAAAATTACATTCAGAGCATCAAACACTGCATAGTTTAGATGTAAAGTGTAGTATCAATAGTGCAAAACCACATAACATGAGCACAATAAAGACTCGGTGCAGCACATAAGCAGAACTGCAAAGTCCAAATCAATGTTATTGTATTAGTGGATGTGATTATTGTCCATGGAAGGTCAGTCTGGTTGTTCTGTCCTGTATCGACCTATACCTTTTACTTGAGGGCAACAAGTGGAAAAGGTGATGAGCAAGGTGGTGCTCGTCATACAGGAAGTTATACACTCTCTTCAAACAGCAAGTGGTACTGATCTGACTTGTGGCAGTGTCAAACCTGGCCTCAATACACCTCTTGTGTTGTTGCCTCTCCCCAGAGCAGTTTGGGGGAGAGGAATTAACACAAATTAGATTATATTATGGTGTCTCTGATCTCACTCTGTGTAACTTCAGTCTGAGGGTATCGTTTTATCTGTCTTTCTAATTATGCCACTTCAGGTCATATTTCAATGCATTCTATCAGGTAGGGTCACTCTGGTCCATTTTGTCCACCTGGCTGTCTTGCACAGAAAATTTAACAGATCATCTCTTCATCATGGTCAATTTGTTTTGCCATCCATATAAAACAAACAAAAAAGCAATAATTGTTTAAACAGTTTTTGTTTGTTTGTATGTTTTTATAGTTGTTATATTAGATAATATAATTTTTAGTTGTTATATTAGACAATATAGAAAAGATATATTACCGTGATATGTTTCCACAGTAATTTCAGACAGTCTTCGGGTAGTGTGACATCTCCTAATAGCTGTTCTTTCCAGCTGTGGTCAGCAAAACACATCTCTTATCTATATTGGTTGATAATATCAACAACCAAATTATATTTTAATATTAAAACACAATGAATATTCCTCATCTTAAAAATAGTATGTATTAAATTACACAGTACTGCACAAAGGCAGAAAATGCAGCTTTGATTCTTTTTTAAAGGCTACTAAACCTACCAGAAATCTGACCTTTTCAGCATCTGCATCATAATAACAAGCTAGGTTCTTCATCTTCATTCTGTTTTAGCTTCAGGGCATCTCCAACAGGTGGAAGTACAGCCCACTTTGTATACTGCATTGGACCATGGCTTGGACCATAGATATTGAACGTTAGATCTCGTGTTCAGCCTCTTGGCATCCATCTTGGTAGAGGGCTTCCATGGTCTTCCATGGTTAGAGGTACTCAATTGGTGGACCCAAACGTAATGACATCCGGACCGAGACAAAAATTTCTCTGTCTTTCATAGCATTCCGGATCCACGCGAAATTTGATTGGCATGTGTTTTTTGGATGTGTTTCCCTAAAAAAAAAAAAAAAAAAAAGCATAATGAAGAAGAAAAAAACATACAAGTCGCACCGGACTATACTTCGCTCTTTTTTGGGGAAATGTATTTTATAAAATCAGAGACTAAGAACACACATTTTAATCTTGAAAGACAGACATTAACCATTAAGATATTACATTATTCAGATAGCTATAGCATAAACAACGTAACATAACAAGTTTACCTAAATCCATTGAATTCTTAACCCTGGGTGTCACTTCTGAGTAACTTGGTGACCTCCGGAGGTAAATTATTTTAATAGATCCATGGGTAAACGGGGCGCCGCTTCCTCTCTCTGAATCCCAACGGGATGGTTGATCCATCTGATAACTTCCAGGAAAGTTGCATGGTGCATCCTCCAGGTTGCCGTGAAGGTGTGTTCTCCAATCCCGCTTTCTGCCAGTCCCTCACAAGTTTCTCGGTCATTCCCAACTTTTTTCTGCTGCTCCATTACTGTATAAAATGTTCAGTGGTACAGAAGTATTGGTGCGATCGACTGACATGATACAGACAGAACAGCGGCTCTGCAGGAGACATGCACAGTGACAGTGGTACAGGAGGAATGGGAGCAGAGCGCTCTTAGCTTAGCTTTGCTAAAGTAGCCATCTAGCTAGTGTATTTAGTACTTTGTGCATAGTTTAAATGTTCCATGTGGATTTACTACATTTTTTGTTTAAGTTTTAAGTTTGGAAGTACACTGTGACTTTTTCGGACCCTGGAAACACTGTACATTTGGTAAGTGGACCTTTTGAGTTTGTAATTGAGTAGCCCTGGTCTAGAAGATGAAGCACGTACTGCACAGACCTGCACAGACGTAAGCGCGTTCTTCCGGCGGCGCGCACGCACGGTGCTGCTGTTGTCAAGTGCATCTTTTGAGTGATCCGCTGCTGTTGTCAAGTGCATCTTTTGAGTGATCCGCGCTCTCTGCAAACTTTGCAAACTTTGGCTGCGACCGAAAACTTTTATCTCAGAACTTAAATCGACGATTTCCGAAGAGAATAGGCACAACTCCGATAGAATTTCACCCAGACTTTGCCTGACCACCTTCTACATCAGACTACGAGACGTTTCTGGGGAAAACGTGAGGTTTGTCACTTTCTTGGTTCATAGTCCTTATGGGTTTTCATCATGTTACTCAATAAGCAATCATTAGTTAAGCAAATGCCCCTTTATCCATTGATAAAGGGCTATGTTTATGGTATATAATATAATTTATTCCAAAAAATGTGAGCTCTTGCGCTTCTAATCTCCTAAATAGCTGCTGTAGGTGTCATGTTTTTTCTCCACCTAGAATGAGTTAGGTTCCCGCGGTCACCTAAGTAACCATTGACTCCAACTAGAGTCTAATAATAGGGTGACTATAGTGAGGCGATACATATAGAAAAGTAACCTTAGCAAATAAAACATGTATTGAGGTACTAGAAGAGGACTCCTACTGCTTTTATTGGAACATTATAGTCAAGCATGCAGGCCTTTTCCCAAATGGTTGAGGCTAAAATTCTTTTTTAAAAATACACCTGATTTGCTACAGTCCACTGTATTGTTCCATTAAAATTAGCCCATACTCAGAATTTAGATCCCAAATTCTATTAAGTATACTGACAAGTCTTGAATTTTCAATAGAATTTCTTTGTGCTTTTTAGCATTGTTACGTTTCACAGGTAGACAGTATAAATGGTATCACTTAGATGACAAGTTCCACATGTCAAATGAAAGCATATGTTGAGCTAAATTAAAGATGTACCATTTCTTGAATAGTGCCAAAATGAACGGGTATGTTCATAGACTGGGTTAAATGATCTCCAGTCAATTGGGGTCTTAGAGGTTTTCTATACAACAAACAAAAAGGAGTTTAAAGTCATATTTACCTAAGTTTAATCATAATAGTCTACTACTTTTAATACATCATAATAATATAGTTATTATATATGAAATATACAAAAAAAAAGTAATAACAATAAAAAACATTACTTCTGTTAAGTCAGTTCAGTTATGTTTGAACATTCCAAATAAGGATGCTAGCTGCTAACATTGTGTCCCTGTCAAAGGTTTTCTAGCAGATTTCACCACTCGTCTGTATGACCTGAAGAGTCGTACACTGCATTATTACCCACTGTACTTCAGACAACAGAGTTAAACCTGAGATAGGACCACATGAAATGAAAATATAAAAACATGAGTCAAAACTTGAATAACTCAGAATTGGAACTGGATATGAAAAAATCCATCAGTATGTTTTGTCAAATCTTGTTTAATACAAGACTGTAAAGTTTGGAGTAAAACTGTAGACAGTAATTGTTTGTGGGACATTTTCTATAATTGTGATAATCGCTAATAGAGATAATTGCCATAATACAAGAACGGGTTGTTTTTATTTATAACAAAGTATAGTTGTTTAAATATGTAAATATAAGCTGTTTTAACTGTCAGCAACTTGAATAATTATCGTGATATAATCGTTAATCACAATTATTTTCACCATAATAATTGCAACACCAAATTTGAATTTGGGCCCATGCGGAGTGTTAATTGAACTCTTTATGTTCTCAGCTCTGGTTTGGCTGGACTCTTAAGATGTGAGCTCTGGTAACACTGGTGTTTGACACATTCTGTTCCTCTCCACAGATCCGTGTGGTCCTCGTGATTCATCAGGCGTCCAGACATCCTGCACAGGACCCTGCCTCTCGTTCTAAGTTCACACACACAAACACACATACACACACAACCTCTACAAACTTCTGCTGCCACGATGCCTCCTCCTAGTCTTCAGCTCAGTTATTCTGTGCTGCCTTCTTCCTTTGTTTTTAGCGACCCTGTGTTACCCCCTAGGCCTCCTGCTGCTGCCGCTGCTGCTACTGTGCGCCCTGCACTCACCCCTGCTGCCCGCCGTCGTATGGCCGCCGCCGCTGCAGCCCGCTGCCCTGTGCCTGCCGCTGCTGCTGCCCTGCACCCTGTGCCCCCGCTGCTGCTGCCGCCGCCGCCCTGTGCCCGCCGCTGCTGCTGCCCGCCGCCCTGTGCCCGCCGCTGCTGCTGCCCGCCGCCCTGTGACCGCCGCTGCTGCTGCCCGCCGCCCTGTGCCCGCCGCTGCTGCTGCCCGCCGCCCTGTGCCCGCCGCTGCTGCTGCCCGCCGCCCTGTGCCCGCCGCTGCTGCTGCCCGCCGCCCTGTGACCGCCGCTGCTGCTGCCCGCCGCCCTGTGACCGCCGCTGCTGTCCCACAGTTGTTCCCTGGACCTAGGCCGGACTGGGTGGTGCAGATGGAGGACTACCTGGAGGAGCGTAAGAAGGATTGGAAGGACTGGAAAAGGTCACGTGAGCCACAGAGGCCATTTACTCCATTAAGACACAAGTACTCCTTTTATTTTAAGAACTGATCCTTTTTCTGTTTGTGTTTCAGTCAGAAGAGGATCTGGAGTCTTGTTGGCACCAGTTAACTAAAACAAAAAAAACATATTATTATTATGTTGTAAATAGTTTGCCGTGTGTGTTTTACTTTTAACATTTTTAGATAAGTTTTGTGTGGTGTGATTTTTATGTTGTAAATAGTTTGCCGTGTGTGTTTTACTGTTAACATTTTTAGATAGGTTTTGTGTGGTGTGATTTTTATGTTGTAAATAGTTTGCCGTGTTTTAGTGTGAATATTTTTAGATAGGTTTGTGTGGTGTCTTTATTATGTTGTAAATAGTTTGACATCAGAATGAGAGGAGGGGAAAAATGTCAGACTGAGAAAACAGTATACAATACAGGTAAGTTTTTATATTGATAGTATTAAACTATTGAAGTACAGTTCATTTATTTGTCTGTTTTTCTTCCAGTGAGATGGAACTTTACAGTGCAGACTGTGGAGAGAAGGAGTGGAGGCTTATGTCCATATTGTCATACAAAATACAGGTACACTGGAGACGACTATGAATTGTATTTGTCCCTCGTCCAACTATATTGTACATTTGTGTTGGTTTTTCCCTCGGTGTCACTTCTGAGCAACTTGGTGACGTCCAAAGGTAAATTATTTTAATAGATCCATGTTACCCATGGAGTGCCGCTTCCTCTTCTGTGTAGCTGTCGTCAGACTCAGACTCATTTCCAGTTAGAATTATTTCTGACTTTCTGAATCCTGACAGGATGGTTTAGGCTGTCACTGAAGTCCAGGCATTTACAGGTGACTGAAATTCAGCACTCTTTCTCTTAAACACAAGTCTTTATTTATTATTGCAAAATTGATAGAGACTTTGGTTCTATGAAATGTATTTCTTTAAATGCTAGAAGTAAAAGAGATATTACAAAGAGAAAAGCTATATATTTATTTAGTTGTAGGAAAGGCAAAATGTATTCTTTTTACTTGAAACTCACTCAGTGGACACCGATGTTAACTGTATACCCAATTGTATACAATATGTAAACGACGTCTCTCACAGTCAGATTATTAGCTATTAGTTATCATTCATAACACTGCAAAAGTATTTTCTACTTCGGTAAATACTGTATTTAAAGTAAGTTTAAGTACTGAGTTATTTGAATGAGGTACTTTTACTTGTATTGGTGTACTGTTTGACTTTGCACTTTTATGGAATGTAGTACTGTGATCATTTCCACAAATATGATAACTTTGAAAAAAAAATCCTGTAAAACAATTCACTTGACTTCCTTTTTCCAGATCTTCACTCTGATTGGCTAGGCCCGCTTACCTGCACTGTTGTCATTATGCCCCCCTTCTCTGCTCTCCGGCCGCACCTCGCTCTCCAGGCAGGTCCAAAGTTCACTTACACACACTGTTTGCTTAGCTTTGGTCTGTTCGTCCTCCGAGGGGGATCCCAAACGGTGAATGAACCTGTTAGCTCGAGGTAGGCTTTGCTTTCAACATAATAACACTCTAACACCTCTAGGCTACTTGGATTTGAACTTAAGCCTGGATTTAACAAAAGTCACATGAGCAACTAACCACTGGATTGTTCAGTTTTTTTATATTTTTAGTTTTCATAATTGTGGTATGATGGATTTTGCATAGTTGCTTATAGGTACGTTTCATTTTTACATTTTATTATCTGTAGAATTCATATTTTAGTCTATTGTTAGACTAAGCAAGCTATATTAATGGTTAATTGCCAACCTACATATATGTTTTGCTGGTTGAACTATAGCTCTACAAAAATGACATTGAACTTTGCAAAACATAAAATATAGTAGTTCAAATTTTAGCTGTAGTCAGAGTTTTATGGTGCATAAAGCTGAAGGGAGCGGCCCGAGTGTTAATAACACAGTAGTATAGATAACATTACACAGCACAGATAACATTATAGATAATCTTAAGTGAAAAATTATCTTTAGTTTAATCAATAATACTAGAACTAAAAACGAACTTTACCTTTTGTTTTATGCAAATCAACTCATATTATAAGCTCTACTCCACAAAAAAATGACCAAATGAGAATGACTGATGGTGTATTTCTAAAGTAGTGTTTACCTGGTTTACTTATAACTTTTAACTTATAATTTACTTTATATTTGTAATTCAAACAGTTATTGGAGTTTCTAGATTGCTTTTGTCTTCAGTGGTGGAGCAGGAAGATGTGTTAATGCGTAACTAAACGCATTTCCGGTATTAATGCTCTAACTGATAGTACTAACAAATGTAATGTAATAGGCTTGGATATAAAAAAACAGAAACATAGTTGAGTGTGAAAATAAAAAAATAAAAAGAACACTTTTGATTTGTTCTAGTAGATTTTTAAATGTGTACAATTTCAAAATATGAAAATAACATATAGCCACCTAACTAGGGATATGCTAAAATACTGAAATATCGATATATTGTATAATTTAATGTGATGATACAGTATTGATATCGTGGGCTGCTGTATTGATATATTGCCAAGGGTATTTTCCAAATATCCAATGCACCAAATCAAAATCTTACACACGGTTCCTTTAGTATATTTAATTAGATCAACAGTTTAACAGCATATTTTTGGCCTCTTGGACAGAGGAATGCTGAGGTTAGGGCTCTCAGGCTGACTGGCGAGATGTATGATCATTATAAACAGACATATGTATATGTATGAGACATTGTGAAATTCAGGACCATCCACTGAACCAATTCATAATTACATATTTGTTGTCCTTCTCAGGTCTGAAACATGGAATATAAATAAAAATGGGGGCTGTGGTGTCATTCTTTGAGCGACTGTTCGGGACAGAGAAAAAGAAGGGTAAGACAGTACAGTGTATACTGTTCGTATACTGTTCTCCACAAACCTATTCTACTGAAAGCTTATTCCATTGTTCCACTTTCAGAGGAGGAGCGATTTCTGCGTGCTAATGACAGAGCTTTCAACTTGTCTTTTAAATATGCTGTAAGTACTGAGGCAAAGTTAAAATTAAATATTGTCTGCAAAAAAAACTGCATGTTTCAAATGCCAATCTCTGTTTAGGACAACTCTATTAAGACCTCCAAGTACAACATCTTGACGTTCCTGCCTCTAAATCTGTTTGAACAGCTTCAGAGGCTCGCCAATGTCTACTTCTGCTTCCTCTTTATCCTGCAGGTACACTTTTTCTTCCAAATTAGGGCCAAATTGTTTCAGAAACTAAACTAAGACAAAGTCAGAACTAAAACAAGAATTAATTAGAAATAAAGTTGTGCTATTTTACCTTTCTGATGGGAGGTTTTCCCTGTTTCCATGGAGATGAAATGTTGATGGAATGTTCCTCCATCTGGCATTAAACGTCTCTATCTTGTATTTATTTAATTACAGCTGTTTTTGTAGCATAACATGCATTCTTACCATGAGATGTGGTCACATCTCTCTACAGATCTGACCTGTAACTTGGCATCACTTGTTTTTCTCCATGGAGATAATATTAGTCATTCCAGGCAAAGCAATAACATTAACCTGGCAAAGACAGATTGATAATGCAGTGCTAATGAGGTTAGCTCTGTGATATCAATCTGGAATGGCTCCCGTCAAAATCGCCCAAGAAGGGGAGGGACCAATCACAGCAGACAAACAAATACGTGATTTTAGTTTGCTGAACAGAGACAGTGCAATGAATGGTGGTCTATGTAGTTGTCTCTGCTTTATTACTGTCTTGCAACAAAGCAATGCATTTTTTTGGTCCTGTTATCTTCTCTTCACAGCTAATCCCACAAGTGTCTTCTCTGTCATGGTTCACCACTGCAGTGCCTCTAACCCTGGTGCTGGGTATGACAGCAGTCAAAGATGCTGCTGATGACATTGTGAGTGGATCTATTGCATTAAGAGTACCCATAGTCAAATTAAAATAAATTAAATAACTTTTCTATTCTTTACTCTAGAACAGACACAAGAATGACAACCAAGTGAATAACCGTGAAGTGGATGTGCTCTTGGATGGAGAGTAAGTACAGATATTTAGTATTTAGTATTTATTAAAATGTATTCTATTTACTACTTAATAGATTGCAATGTGCCATTATAGCTTTGATTTATACAGTGCAATAGACATATTATGAGACTAGCACAATGATTAAGCAAGTTTTTTTTTTTTATTATTATTATTATTATAGCAATGTAACATTAACATTAAAAGTCTTGCAAAATTACTGTGAACTTTAACAATGTCAGTCGTAAACTCATATGCCTAAACTCATTTTCTACATAGGAAGATTATGGAACTACATAGATCATAATTCTTTGCTTCAGTTTAGTGCTAACACCTCAAAATAATTAGTTATTAAAGACATTTTAGTTCTAATCCACTGAAATATAATTAGGATGCAACTAAAAATTATTTTAGTAGTGCACTAGGATTATTTTTTCAATTTATCGACTAGTCAAACTATTATTTTTATTGTACATTAAGATTTTTCAAATTAACTTTTAACCAAAGTCGACTACTGTTATTCCAATTAAGTGTTATACCCCTAGATTGCACACATTTTTATTGAAAATGGCAAAAGATAACGCATGGTAACATTTGTATTATAATTATTTTACCTAAACAAATCTAACAAATTATTTTTTTTCTGCCAGCCTGAAAAAAGAAAAGTGGAAAAATGTGAAAGTTGGGGACATCATTAGGCTGGAGAATAACGAGTTTGTAACAGTAAGTATACACCGTAAGAGTATATAGTAATGCTGTTTGTACTTTCACATATGCAGTTAAAGTTTAAGTTGTCTTATCTAATCACGGCATCACTTACCCTTATCTCCTGCTTATGTTCCATTTCTAGGCTGATCTTTTGCTGTTGTCGAGCAGTGAACCTCTAAATCTGGTTTATGTGGAGACAGCTGAACTAGATGGGTAAATGCACAGGATCTGGCCACAAGAATAATGGAAAACAAAACATTGTGTTGTGTTTTGGGGATTTTCTTACTCCAATCTAATGCCTGAGAAATAAATGAGCAGTTCCCTAGTATTGATTCATAAGATTTTTGGGTCCACGTTTTTATAATTCGTAATTTGAAGCATTATAATCTGATGGTGGATAGCACTGTTTTCATAAGGGTTGTCAGAAGTATCGAAAAATCTGATCTTAATCAATACTAAAACTAGTATCTAGATGCTCCTTTCCTGAATAGCTTTTAGAATGATCTTGATCTTTTTGTCTAAACAGAATTAAAATTATATTATCATGACAACATTAGTTTGCATATAGAGTCATGTTCCTTAAGTTCTAATGACTTATTGTATTATTTTGTCTATTTGTGCTATTAGTTTTCATTGACAGTATCTCAAAAGTAACAGCCTCACATCACTAACAACACGGTGATGGTCAACAGTGAAATGAGCAATGTTGTTGGAGTAGTCATATATGGTCTTGGCCCATTTTAGGCTATTTCCAACTGGACATTTTAGTAAAGTCGTAATCTATATTTGCCTCTCATTTCTTTTCCTTTCAGTGAAACTAATCTGAAGGTGAGACAGGCCCTGACAGTAACAGGAGAACTTGGAGACAACTTCGAGGCCCTGACTGCTTTCAATGGTAAAACAAGCAATGCTCTTAATAATATAATGCACTTGCAGGACAGAACCATACATTTACAATGTATGGTTCTGTCCTGGTTTTGTGTCTCCAGGTGAAGTGAGATGTGAGCCTCCTAACAACAGGCTGGACAAATTCAAAGGGACCCTGACCTTCAGTGGGCAGTCCTACGCTCTTGACAATGACAAGGTGCTGCTTCGAGGATGCACTCTGAGGAACACTGAGTGGTGCTATGGCCTGGTCATCTTTGGAGGTAACGGATTCATAATATTAAATATTCAAGTTAGAGATGCACTATGTAACTTTTTAGGTGGAGGATGTTAGTGCTTTGCCTAGATTGTTCCACAGTATGGCATAAATTTATCTATCTTCTGTTTATTAAAGATACAAAATCTATTTTTTGGAGACTTCTACAATTATAATGTATATCCGCTATAACACAGTCTCTTCAAAAACATGCCTGAAGAAGTTTGTTGCTGTTATCTAGTGATCTCAGCCAGACACCATTTGAAACCTTCTTATGGTTAGCAGTATGAGCCTGGCCCTGCCTACAGACTTATATCGCCACACGGCAAGTTTCCATAAATATACAAACACACAATACAAAACAATATGCTACAGCTACCAACCTCTGAAGGGAGAGCGACTTCGTGCAGAGGGCAAAGGGAGGGGAGACTCAAAGTATCATAATGAAACATGGTAAGATGTTGTTTTCGGCGAATATAGTATTTTCTGAACAATATAAGGTAACAGTGATCTAAATATGTTTTAGAAACTACTCCATAGAAAAGTAATGTCCCCTTTTCAAATTCATCTGCTTGTTCCCATGGAGATCGAAGAGTTTAATGCTGTGGAACACTTTATGCAGTAACATCTATATAGACAAGCAGGTGGCAGGTATAACAGCTATATTTGTTTTTATGTGATGTCTGCAGGTGCTGACACAAAGCTCATGCAAAACAGTGGAAAGTCAATATTTAAAAGGACCAGCATCGACCATCTCATGAATGTTCTGGTGCTTTGTGTGAGTTAAGCTTTTCTTCATTTTTATTGATTTTGCTTTTTGTTTAAATTGTATGGTTTTAAATTAAAAACAAATTATGTTTTAGTGCCAAAGACAATGCAGGATTTTTACATACACCTTTTGTGCCATTTATGACCCCAAAAATATCGAATTAATTTCTCCAAAGTCTGAACTCTGCTTTGATTTGTTAATTCAAACACTAAGCCAATAATTATGATAATCTCCAAACAATTAGATCTCAAGTCAGTTAGTGGGATGATCTCATATGTTGTTTATTGACGAAGGACTGTTCAATTCTTTGGTTTTCTAACTTCATACTGATTAAATCAGCAATTCTATGAAGCTCTGCAAGGTGACTGCTGTTCTAATTTTAGGCTCTACTAAAGTAAACTGAATATAAATTGTAGTAAAAAACATTGTCATATATACTACACATTAACGTCTCTTTCTCTGTGTTTCTTCTCCAGATCTTTGGTTTCCTGGCCTCTATGTGCACGGTCTTGGCCATTGGGAATGCCATCTGGGAGTCCAAGGAGGGCACCAATTTCTTGGCTTTTCTCCCGTATGAAGAAGGAGCCACGGCTCAGCTCTCCTCTTTCCTCTCTTTCTGGAGCTATGTCATCGTGCTCAACACTGTGGTGCCTATTTCTCTATATGTCAGGTAAAAGTTCCAAGTTGCCTGCCTCTCATATAAAGACCAAGGACTAAACCAGGCCAAAACCCAAGACTAAAATAGGTCCAGAGTAGGACTAACCAGGATCCCAACCAAGATTTAAAGGGGACATATTATGCAAAATCAACTTTTATGTACTGTTTCCTTATCATTAGCTAACTCACAGTGGTGTTTTGAGTGATTCATGCATGCGTGTAATCTTGTTTTCTTTGACGCTTAAGGGCACACTTGAGAGCTCAGAAAATTGGTTTTGATATAGTTGCTCACTTTCCTTTACCTGTGTTAGACTTATGTTTATTCAAGAATAAGCATACGCCAAAGGTTAAGAAATGTTTAATGTCCACAATAAAAAAAAAACATGTTAATGATTCCTTTCCTAGTGTTAGGCCTGAGTTAGATAAATTTTGTAGTTTATAATAAAGAAAATCAAATATAATAGTCTATGTAGCAAAACTCCACTCTGGTATCGAAAAGCTGTAAAAAACACTTATAAACTCATCTCGGTGAATAATTAAGAATAATTAGGATGTTCTGAATGCATTCAGTAAGTGACAACAAAGTTTTTATCATGTTTTTTCAAGTCAGTAAAAATCAGGTGTAGTGCCTTTAACAATTTCTAAAACTGGGATAAGCCAACCAAACTAAAATTCACCAAGTCCAGACAAGGGAGCATAGAAGTATATAAATAAACAATCTATAAATTAACCAGCTAGTATAGCCTCTAAAGCATTTTCAGAATAATAGATTTTCTTGCTTATATCAGTGTGGAGATCATTCGTCTGGGGAACAGTTTCTTCATCGACTGGGACCGTAAGATGTACTACCCCAAGAGTGACACGCCCGCCCAGGCCCGCACCACCACCCTGAACGAGGAGCTGGGCCAAATCAAGTACATCTTCAGTGACAAGACAGGAACACTCACACAGAACATCATGACCTTCAACAAGTGCTCCATCAACGGCAGGAATTATGGTAATGTAACGTCATGTAACTTCTTCATTCATTCAGACAGATAATCATGAGCACTGTACAAACACTTTTTGAGAGCTCATTAGGCCTTCAGGGAAATTATATAAACAAACACAGTGGTAATTTTAGCTTGTTGATGATTAGCAAAAATAACTGCAAGGATATATTTGCTATTCCAATATCAGTAACATAATTTATTTACATTTGTTCTTGTTAAAGTTGTGTAAAATACATGACAACGCTTTAGTTTAGGGACCACATATGAATTGTTATAATTAGTATTTTTTCTCATAGCCTATGGTTTACAAGTTGTTAGCCATTTACTAATTGTCATTCATTAATTTGGACTCATAGCCAATTACAGGTTATTAACATTATAAGCAATGAATGCTAATGTACATAAATTATAATTTTAACAAACATTATTCAGTGTGTTATAATTCATACTACTACCTAGTTAATGTGGCCCCCAGATGGTATAATCCCTCATTCATCCACAAGTGGTTCAGTGTAGAGAAGGTTTCAGCAGTGGTCATATGGATTGTCCGTGTACCATTTGTTTTTTTGAATTTCAGTTAAGAACGAAAAACAATAAAATGGGAAAACAGTTTGCTATTTCATTATTCCATTTTAGTGTGAAACTGAAAAACAGATTTCGACCTCTATTTCCAATATTTAATAAAAAAATTATTTCAAATAACACCAATCAAAAAACAGTCTCAGCGTCTAGTTCATTTTGGATATTTTATTCTCTTTGGTTTATTTGCCCCAGAAGTTATGTTGCTTAGTGTGCTGCATGTGAATTCAGTGTCAACTGAATGGAGAGTTTATCACTGTTACCTGTTTCTCATCATCGGGTTCAACAATTATTTATTAATCAATTAAACACATCGCTGTGAAAGAAGAGTTGTTTGTCCACAAAATTGCAATGATTTTCAGGTAAGTCCTAGCAGCAGAACTTCCAGGACAAATAAACCAGAGAAAATAAAATATCAGAATTGAAATAGGCATGGTGACTATTTTTGATTGGTGTTATTTGAAATAAATTTTAAATTAAATTTTGGAAATAGAGGTCAAAATCATTTTCTTTGACATTTAATGAAATTATGAAATTTCCCATTTTATTGTTTTTCATTCTTAATTGAAATTCATTGGTAACGTCAGAGACCTTTATATGTGAAGGCTACATATTCTCATTTGTCTGAAAAAAAAAAAAAAAATCAGCAACAACTATTATTTTTATTCTTTTTGCAGGGGAGCTGTTTGACTTCTCTGGACAAAGGGTCGAAATCACAGATGTAAAATAAATACATTGGCAAACATTTACTCTGTATTGATGTATTCATTCATATTAACTTTGTACTTTTACTGTCCTTTGCAGAAAACAGAAAGAGTGGACTTCTCTTGGAATAAACTGGCAGATCCAAAGTTTATGTTCCATGACCACAGCCTAGTGGAGACGGTGAAGGAGGGCAGTCCTGAGGCACAGGGATTCTTCAGACTGCTGGCTGTGTGTCACACTGTCATGCCTGAGGAGAAGAACCCAGGTGAGAACTGCATAATCCTCAAACATCAATTTCACTCTAAATCAGAGAACTGTGTGAGTGCAATTTAAAAAATAAGATAAAATACTAGAACTGCAGAGGAGTCAGAGTACCCATTCCACAGTTGAAAAACCTCTGATGAAACACATATATATTGTTTTCATGTTTTACCCTGTTGTAATATTAGCACCTCTGTTGCCTTATATTTTCAGGGGAACTTTACTACCAGGCCCAGTCACCAGATGAGGGCGCTCTTGTGACAGCAGCCAGAAACTTTGGCTTTGTGTTCCTGTCCCGTACTCCAGAGAGCATCACTGTGGTGGAGATGGGACAACACATCACATACGAGCTGATCGCTGTTCTGGACTTCAACAATATCCGAAAGAGGATGTCCGTTGTAGGTGGGTAAAATGGCATTATCGTATCACTGATATAATTTTTATTTGTCAGAGGTGTGTTGTAAAGTTTTTCAGTAACTTAAAAAAAAATTTTGGAATGGTACCTACATGATTCCATACCAGTTCAAACATATTACAGATCATTCTTCATGTTGATAGATACTTTTATATTATAACCAAAAGAACAAAATTCCCATGGAAACAAGCAAGCCAGATAAGGCTCAGAGTAAGGACATATGATTTTATACATTTCTCAGTATAAAAAATACAAACAACATGAACAAACATGCCTTTATTTTAGGCATAAGAAGTTACATACTGTTGCTTTACCATTATTTTAACCTTTATACCCATATACTCTTTATACTCTTACTTAATTAGAGTAATATCCTGCTCTACCAATCCCTGTTGTTTAGTTTATTATAACCTTCTAGCTATGTTCTCTTTTTAGTGCGCAATCCAGAGGGCAAGACAACTCTGTATTGTAAAGGCGCTGACACCATCATCTATGAAAGACTGCATCCATCTTGTAAAAAACTGATGGAGGTGACGACTCAGCATCTTAATGTGAGAAAACAGTAAAACGTGATGCCAGAAGGTGTATGTTCTGATTATATAACCTACTTTCCTATAACACTACAGGAGTATGCAGGGGATGGGCTGAGGACACTGGTTCTGGCCTATAAGGACTTGGATGAAGAATATATGGAGGACTGGAGACGCAGGCACCATGAGGCCAGTATAGCCATGGAGGGAAGGGAGGAGATGCTGGACCAATTGTATGAAGAGATTGAGAAAGACCTAATGGTAAATACATTACCATGCACAAACTAATGAAGCATTTAGTTGTAACTTTTCAAGCCATTCCTCAGTAGAATAAATTTCATGGGTTTCAGCTTCCTGTTCTTTTTCCCATTCAGAAGATCTAAAATGTTGTTTCAAATGGGTAATCGTTATGGCAATAGTCAAAAAATTTTTTAGCCCTATGGATAGCATATACTTGTATTTTTTAACCTCATTGAGAAATGAGAGTTTTGTTTATTTAGGTTATTGATTTACATGTTATAACTACTAAATGATCCCTCATAATCTGGTTTAAGAAATGGTCATGTGCAGAGGACACATTTCTCACTCTTACTATACTGACAATAGAGTTTATATAATATAATGTATTTCTATTTGTAGTTACTGGGAGCCTCAGCAGTGGAGGACAAACTCCAGGATGGCGTTCCTCAGACAATTGAGCAGCTGGCTAAGGCCGACATAAAGATCTGGGTGCTGACTGGGGATAAACAGGGTAAGGTCACTGCGCTTACAAGATATTATCTTTACAGTATAGTGTTTAGACCCTGTTTTGTCTTAGGTAATGGTGGTTTGGATCTTCAGTACAGTTTTACACTTTGTTTAGTCCTGTTTTAGGTTTGTTTTTGTTCTTATTTTGTTCTTATTTAGTCTGCGCCCTGGTGGCACTCATTGGCAAATAGTGAGTCAGAATTGCCAGTCAGAAAGACAAGCCCAGATAATGCCTGCTAGCAGTGTTAGGTTTAAAGGGACAATATTTTCTGATCTATGTTATAATGTTGTTTCCTCATCACAAACATACCTGGTGTTATGGTTTGTTTCATTCACACATGTTTAACACACAAGCCCTGCATATTTAGGCTGAGTTCTTCTCTCAAACAGAAAAGTCCACTCCATCTTGCGATGTCATGTTGTAATACAGGAAGGCGCCACTGTGTTTTTAATCTCCATACACTTTCACTAGAATCATTGGATAATTTCAGTCCTGGAATGTCCAATCAAAAGGCCATCAAAGAATAAAAGGTAGCTGTTAACTTGAAAAACTACTGCTTTGGTGGAACAGAGCTCTTTGAGCATTGGAGATATAGGCAGATTAATAATGAAGGATTACTCAAACATGTCTGAATGAAACAAAACACATCTTCAAGTTCTGAAAAGGTAACAACATTATAACATGGCTAAAAACTCACGCGAGTAAATTTTGCATAATATGGGACCTTTAAACTGTACGTAGCCTGCACATTTTGTTTTAATACCTCAATTGCAACAGAACCCGGGTTGCCAGTGCCTTATCTGAGAACACACAGGCTTATAGGTTTTTCTCATTCTCCCTATACAGATAAGCCATATCTCATGTGAAAGCTCCAGAATTCACTCACTGAACTGCACTGATTAATTGCAACCCAAGTGAGGCTCATTCTGCTTTCGGATCATTTTGAGAAGCAAACATCATACTATAACATAAAGAACTTGACCATCATATCCAGTGTCTTTGGGGTGAAGAATAAATCAGCACCATTTGAATTGATATCAATAAACACTAAATTTGATTTGCTCAAGTCCACTCATATCTGGGGACACAGTGAAGTCATATTTATGAAATTTAAAATCAAAATCTTACATATGTTCCCTTAATGTACATGAATGAAGGTATGAGGATAGTTTATTTTATTTTACTTTTACCAATACTGGAATTAACTTTTACCGGAATGAAGCTAAAAGTGATCT